CAGATAAAATCTTTAAAACTTCTAGTCAGAACAGAAGACTGATTCCTTTATATCTGTAGTCAAGAATGTATTTCAAACTCGAGAAATAAATTATGGTGAATCCTAACAAAGTCTAAGTTAACAAAATTTTGAGTTTATTTGTTTATTTTTTTATAAGTAAGAATAAATTTTCCAGATGCAGTATATTGATTAAACTTTTTGCCTTTGCATCTTCTCACATACTAGAACCAATACTGCATGAGGTAATTCATTAGACATAGATGATGCGAATTCACTAGCTCAGCATATCCCCAGTGAAGACATTGAACTATTAGATGTACACTATACTTTTATTCTTCTTTCTCAGCAGTTATCCTTACTGACACAGTCAGTGTTTCATCTCAGCATGAAATAACATTAGATAACATTGCATTCTGAAGAAGCGGAAAAAACAGGGCTCCACAAATGAGAATGAATTAGAAATGCTCTTGCAGTAGAGGCCCTGGAGTTACAAACAAGAAGCTGATGAATGTATTTAGCAAGGGACTTTATGTAAAATCTCCTTTCTGCTGAAAATCTCTTATTCTTTAGAATATTCTGCTTCTGAAAGGCATTTTTTTGACAAGTGCTAAAAATAATTTCTGTACATTATCAGCACTTTCCTAATCAGTCTTTTGTTGTTGTTGTTCGTTTGTTGTTTTATTTTTAACAAAATGCATGTGGCCAGAGAACATGTTATTACTATTGATATTCTGAAAATGAGCATGATTGTCTGTGCAATCTAAATTTATTTTGCAGAAGTACATACAATGAAAAGGTAAATAATGTGATTAAGTCTCAAAGAAAAACAGACCTGAGGGATTATATTAATCTCACCTAACTTTGAACATTTAGTAAAGTAATATCTCAGCTATCTTATCAAGATCACTTTATAATCAATAAGAGGTTATATGATGTGATTAATTTAACTTATTTTGGATACTTACAGTGGAAGATGATGAACTGAGTCATAGCTATAACCATAATATTCCATTACTTATAAAAACAACTTACAGTGACTAGCTAAGTATCAAATTGTATCCCACATCAGATTAATTTAACACATAAATTCTTTTAATACTGCTATAAAATTGTAAGCTGTTTCAATACAAAATATTCCATACAGGTATGTTTTCTGACTTCATTTACTCTATAGCCATATACAAACCACAGAATACTTTTCTCAATTTCTTTTTCAAATCTTATTCTTACTGACAATGCACTAGGAGGAACTATAAATGCATTACAATATATGTATGCTTTATATCCGAGGATAAGCACAGATTAATAGACAGTGATATTAGTTCTGCATTACAAAGTCAGAAATTATTTTTCACTATTTTTGTCGAGTAATATTATAGCGTGTAATATACATGTCTATACACATGTGCAACAAACAATGCATATATATTTTCATTCACTCTCTTTATTTCATATACAAGACAATATGAATTCTTCAGGCTTACTCAGACTTATGTGAGGAACCACATTTTCTATTATCCTACCAATACCTATGAAAATTTTGTCCTACAAAATTCCCTCATTTTTCCTATATAAGCACTACCATATCCCCTCTAAATGTGATGCAGTTAGGTGTTTCTTTTTTCATTTCAACACCTGTTTAGATTATTTTATTTTACTGTCAGCTGGTATAACATTAGAATAAGAGTGACATAACTAAAAATGATTAAAATGTTTCTTTATATTTCAGGAAACACAATAATTGAAATCCTTATCCTAATGAATTCTGGCCCTGAATTCCGTGGAGTCAGGAATCTGTTAACTAACTTTTTGCTAATGTAGTTTTTGGAATATATGCTTATAGGAGACAGTCTTCTATTCAGCAACATTTCATCCTTATCTTTGCTTCCTGATGCTGACTGAATTGAAGCAAAAGCAGGAAACTGGACCTTTTGCTTTTCCAATAGACCTATGTGATAAAGCAGATAGTTACAATCAGATTGAAAACTGCTGGCAAATCTTCCCCATTAGGAATCAAAGGGATGATTTCAGAGACTGTTGAAGCCCTAAATTGCTACTGAATGATCTGAATTTCTTAATTTTTCTCCCAGAATAAATTTTGTGATTCTTTTGTACAAAGTGGGAAAGGTTCCACAATTTCAGTGGCATTTTGAAAAGAGGCACATCTGATTAAATGAAAAAGGCTATGTGTTGGATTTCAGAATATCAGAAATATGTACACTAAGTGTCACACACTTTCACAATCATCATAGTAATATAAATTTCAGATTATATTTAAGCCTTTTATAATTGGAACCCTTGAACATTTAATCAACTTTTTATAGTGCTAAGAATAGTATTATATTATGTAAATTACATAATTAAAATATCAAAAATGAAAACAGTAAAATTATTAATATGACACAGAAGAAACTGCATAAAATCATTAGTCTCAATACATACACTGCTCATAACTCAGCTAATCTGTTTGAAGAATTTGATTAATTCTTCATATATATGATTTTTTTGCTACTTAAATATTTTTGTGTAGTTCATAAGTGTTTGATGTTGTTCCTAGGGTGTAGTTCATTGTCCTAAATCTAGGATTAGCTATCGATATGAAAGTTGCTACAAAACTTTGAAGAGTGCAATGGAATAATTACCTTTATGAGTAAAGGATCTGTAAAGGCAAGATGAATCATTGAGCTTAAGCCACATGTTCCAATAAGATTTCCTTTTTTCTTCTTTTATAACAGAAGCTTGTAAGAATCCTAGAACCTCTGATTCAACAACTTTAAGCTTAAGCTAGGCACATTTAGAATTCAATTAAAGATGCCACGGATAGAAGGCTTTGTGAGGCATTTTCTGCTTACTCCTTCATGCAAAAGGCATCTCTCAGCACTGTTTCCACTAAATATTTGACTTTTAACCCTCTTTTATTATTTAAAAAATCCAAAACTTTAAAGCTGTGCAAATATGAGATTCTTAAATCAGATGTTCTCCTGTGTCCTGAAAAAAAGTTTGCCTGAAGTTATTGTAGATCAGGATTAGCTTGGTTGAATGGCACTAAGTTTTAAACAATGTATTTTCTGTAATTTTGTTGTGACTTTTTTTCACATACACGGGATACAACTTGTACAGTGCCAATATCTAGAATGCTACTTTGCTTAGTTTATCTAGAGTTGATATCTTTTTGTATTTAACATACACCCATTCTTATATTACTGTATCTTTCTACTCGTATCATTGGCACAAAAAAGGAGAAAAAGTCTCATGATTAATTTCATTTCTAGTTTTCCTAAGCATCTTTAGGATCTGAATGATAGCTTTCTGGCTATGTTCTGTCATTGCAGCTGTAGACTTTGAAATTCTTTATTTTTTTAGTTCTGCTTACTACATCACAAAAAAAAATTGTAATTGAAGGCCAACATTCTTCAAAAATTTGGGCATCTTATTATGATCAGACTTGTTAGTATATCACAGGGCTTTTCAGAGCTTGGCTTAAGAGTTAGTAGCTGCCTTGGAGACTATTGTGGTTAGTTTTAATTCTTAACTAATCCACATTTGTCTTCTAAATGTAATTCTGAAATGTAAATGCTTTGTATCATGAAGGCTGCAGTTGCATGATTTTGATAACACATCTACTTATTAAATAGTTAAATGGCTATTTCATACATAGAGTTTTGAAACCCCAGTTGTTTAAGTAAATCTCTAGAGTGAGAAAATATTTGAGAAAAGAGAAATTTTGATAATCATCAGTGAAATAGCAAGCCAAGACAACAGTCTTGCCAAAGAATTAAATGTTGGCTGCAGAAGTTATATAAGTATCCTAATTAGTTGAATGAGAAAAAATACCTCTTGGAAGTTAAAACATTTTTTTGCTTGTCTGTTTGTTTGTTTGTTTTCCGTGACATCTTCAAGTAAATTCATGCACAACTCATAATGTAGCAAGACTAGACATTCAGAAATTTTCTGAGTGAATCTGTGTGGCTCATAGTAACTTTATCTGTTGATTGGAGCAGTTGTAGAGGTAATCTGACTGTAATAAGAAAGTTTGACATAAAATAGCTGCTAAAACATGCTAAAGAAAAGTCTGCCAAGTAGAAAACTGAACCTGAGAACTAGAAACTTTGAGGTATGACTCAACATCTCTTATGCAAGGCATCCTCAATGCTCCATTGCTAAGACCAAAAAGAGGAAGGGAGGAATGTTTTATCAACTGAGGAAGGGGAGATCATTGTGAGGAATAAACTTTAGTTGAAAGAAGAAATATTATCTATAGACTCTAACAGGAAGAAGACCAAAACTAAGAGGACCTATTTTTTACGTAAGAAGTTGTGCCCTATAAAAATGACATGATTTTTATCCAAGATGGAGCTTTCTCTGAGAAACTTCAAGTGCTCAATGTTCTGTTTCTTTTTCTTTCCTTGCTTAACAGGCTGAAGCTTCACTGAAACTTTGTGTTGACTCTGTGACTTAACAACATTGACTCCTAAACTCTGTAACACTCCATGCCTGGTGATGCTGATCAGCTTCCAAGTGAGACTCCACTTTATTCTCCTTTTCAGCCTGTTTCTGGGGACAGACTGTTTTCTTTTGATAATTGTTTTATTTTGAACATTCAGTGTTTCATTTTCCTTTGTGGTAATTGCTTTATTTTTATTCATGTGATGGTTGTTTTCTTTTGGGTAATTATTTTTTATCTGTTTGGTAGTTTATTTTCTTTTATTGACACACACGCTACCTTCTTTCCTCCTTCTAGGATCTGTTTGATGCAATTGGTAACAGGAATTAAATAAATATGTATTTATATAATCTGTCATAAGTCTAGTCCTGACGTGTTTGCATTTTTACTGTTGTAATATTCTTGCTAGTTGTAGCAGAAATGCTAAGTCATGGCCTGAAATAATGGCTGAGCACCTGGGAAGGCATGGCCAACCAAGGGGAGCTCAGGGGCACGCAACGAACCTGAGTGACTAGGAGGGGTGGATCCTGGCTCCACCCCTTTCCAGATCTCATTTAAGGGTTGGAAGTGGAGGTGCAGGTGTTTTGCTGGTGATCTCTGCCTACTTGAGGCCTTCTGAAGGTAAGCAATTTTTCTTCCTTTGTTTTTGTGTCTATGGCTGCTGCATTTGGGCTTGTTCTCATTTGCTGCAGCCTAGGATTGTGTCACTGTGCTATTATTGCTGTACTCTCCACCACATTATAGCGTTACAGTATTACACTAGTGGTGAGTTGTATTGATTTGCACTAAACAAAAATATTTAGTGAACAAAGCCTTTATATTTTTGAACATCCCTCATATTTTATGATCACTAAGAACCCTTAAGCTAGGTAGCTTCCTTTCCCTTTTGGTCTGTGACAGCTACTTAGAAAGCTGAAAAACAGCCTCAGTTGGATTAACTGGAGTGGAATTTAGAAGTCGAGAAGTCATTTCACATTGAGTCTGGATTTATTTCATAGTTATGCAGTAATAACTGTGTTATTTATTATTATGGTACTTGTATCTTAATATTTTAGTTGTATTGATATGGTACCATCAAGTAAACTGTATAAATTTATAACTCAACTTATCAGCATAAGTTACTTACATTTTTAAAATTATATATGCCTACTAATGTATCCATTGATTGCTTTATTTGGGCTACACAGCTGATAGTGTGAGAAAGTATACATTTTAGCTAAGCAAGATTTTTCTGGAATGAAAAAGAAGATCAATAGTGTAGTAGGGTCAGAAGGATATAGGTTACTGGAAGAAGAGTACTTAATGTAGTGTACAAAAAAAAAATTGACAAAAAAAGTAAATTAACAAAAGTCAATTTCTTACACTCTGACTTTTCAGTCCTAAAGGAATTGGATTGTGAAAGCACCAGAAATTAAAAACAGTAAGAAACTCTTTGATTAAATGCAGACTAAAGTTTATAAAAATCACTTATTACTAGTTATTTGCAATTTGTTAGGAGTAATTTGCATCAGTTTATTGATCAAACAAGCTTTGGAGGGCAGGGGAATTAAGCTTCTGTCTAATACATATGATCTGAAATATTTCAGTGGATAGCTTCAAAAATTTTAAATTAGCTTAAGCACTTGAGGAGGTTATTTATTTTATTTCTTTAGTAATAAACTGGTCTCTCTTATGCCTGAAATACTAGGACCATTTTCCAGACTGAGAAAATACTGTGGTATTATATTTTGCCTCTGAAAATGAAATCTGGAAATGACTTTTATTTACTTGCTTTATTTTATACAGTAATTTAACAAAGCCAGTTTTAGTGGAATAAGACAGGGATGCAGCTGCTTTCCTCCTTGAAAGCAAATGTTCAAACATTCTGTCAGTTCAAGAAGGCTGGGTTGTGTGGTTTTATCCTAAGTTTTGGTGGACATTTGTCCTATTGCATAATGAATGACAACCTAGCATGACTAATAGACTTTGCTCTTGAAACACTCAGGACCAGAAGAACAGAGGTGTTGGAAGCCAAGTCTGCAGAGCACAGAGTGGGACACATGGAGAAGATTGCTTTACAGCACATGTAAGTCATCTTTATTAAAGCAGTGTGCCTCATTTAGAATCCAGATTGGCATATAACTAATATAAATCTGAAAAATGAGCCATATGCTTGCTGAATACTACCTTTAGGCAACACCTGTAACTACTACCAGCACTCCAATAACTTGACCTGCAAAAATGTAATTTGATAGTTGCATTGATGAAATAAAAAATCATGGGTTTTGCAAAAATGGATTTTCAATATAAAGCAAAAATAAATAATAACTACTATGAGCATAAAGGATTCTGTCAGTTTTTTTTTTTCTTTTTTGGCACAATTGAGAAGGAAATATTGTTCCTGAGTGGTAAGATGCATGTGTAATGCTGAAGAGGTGTCAGTGAAGCTTCTGCAGTGCATCATGCGTTATCCTGTTTAGAAACATAAGCTGCACATTATTAATGATAAATAGCCTTGACAAATCTTTAGATTGATTTATGGAGAGGTTAATTAGAATGGGGGATTTAATTCCCCTATTTGAATTTCAGTTATAAAGGTTTCATCCAAACAGTTAGCCTGCTGTAATAATACCTTAAGTTGAACATTTTAAAATTCTTTTTTTTGGTAAAAATATTTTTGTTTTCATGATGTACTCATTACAGACTTTGAGTAACAGGACGCTTTTATTAAGAAGAGCTCAATCGGATTATGTTTCAAATAAGTTTTATTTGCGAAAACCTTTTATGTAACAACTAAATCCAATGTGTTATGACTAGTAGTTTTTCAGTGAATCTTATACAAAAATCTTGAATGCATTTTTGGATGAGGTATCACTCCTACTCCTACTCTGCAAAATACATGCAGAATGTTAGCAACAAAATGTAGTCTTATATGAAAACTCATTATATGAAAACGCCAGTAATCCAACTACTGGTAAAGGTTACTTATAGTTACTGCATAGCAGCTCACTAATGGGATTTTTGGATCAGAAGCTTGATGCTACAGTGAGAATCAGAATGAAAATTCCAGAATTAGTAGTTGCTGAATGGTTGCTCATACTGTCACATTTTTCCCCTCTGCAGAAATGTATGATAGACAGCAATGGCCAACTCTTTTTACTAAGTCAGTAATCCTGAAGCTTTTGAAAACAAAAAGGGAATTTCACAACCAGTTTTGATGCAAGTAGTTTTTATATTTTAAATATCTTAATATTTTACTGAAATACAAAATCAGGAAAAGGAAAATGCTAAAGTACTAAACATATGCCTGTTGATTAAAATTCCAGTAACTCTTGAATCTACATATGACTGGAAGTACTAGTTTTCATTGAAGTTCACTGTCACATTTGCATGACTCTTTGAGATACATCTCCTGTGAGCAGAAGAGAAAAACCTGCACTTCTGGCTAGGACACTGTGTATAGGCCAGCTTTTTTTGTGAGATTTCAAACATGCACTAATTATTTTTACAGTGATTTCTATGCATAGGTTTAATAAAAGGAGCGTAAATATTTAAACAGCGGTAACCACTACTTTTTGTGACAAAAACATGTAATACAAGTTTTTTGAAATTAAGATTTCTTTTTATTTAAACATTCTAAATCCTTCCATTCATATTTACATTAACAAATGGTACACTACACAGAAATAGCAGGAAGTTCAATTTGCTTCTCACTTGAAAATCTACCTTTACACATGCAACTGCAGTCCACTATAGTAAATAACAGTCCACATAGTAAATAACAGCTACACAAAGTGCAGTTTTAATTCATTTGATGTTTATAATACTTAAAAACCTTATTTTCTTTCTTTCTTTCTTTAAAATACTTCAATTTTAGACACTTCAGACATTCTCAACTGAAGGCATATTACAGAGATCCATGGATGTGCTTAACTCCATGCACATAAATTTTATAAAATTGCTTATGTAATTAAAAGAAAATATTGATATTCCATGGTTGAGAATTACAGTATTATGAAATATGACTAGAATAATTATTTCATTGATTAACACATGCTTTTGAAATCCTCTGAGAGGAAAAATAATTTGTGATACAGAACACTAAAGATAAAACAGAAATACAGATGCAGGGAATTTCCTTGTCTTCCTATCTCAGACTCGTTATCTTTTCATAATTTCAGTTTTTACAGGTGTGATGGGTATCCATGAGCTTAGCTTCAGTGTGTATTTTCAGAGTAAAATCTGTAAATGTTTCATTGCAACTTGATTCAGATTTTGTATCAGGAAGGTACCTAGTGGCAATAAAAACAATGTGATAAATGAAAGATATGAAATAGTAACGCATCTTTGACTATATCTTTTTTGTTGCTGTTTGTTTGTTGTTTTTGTAATATGCTAAGGCACAGATTTCATGGTTTACAGTTGAATATTTTTCCTTTATGATCACAGAAAAACTGTTGCCTGTTTCTGTTACAGTAATTAAAATTTCACTTTACTGTGCAGCCTTAAAAATTTTACCTCGTACATAGTTGAAAACATTTCTGCTCTCTCAAGGGAAGAACACCTTATATATGTTCCCATTCTGTCACTTAAAATGATTTAAAGATCCAGATTACTGCTAAATAAGTATACAGTAACATTTCATTTTTTTTGACTGTTTTCTTTGGTATTTAGTCAGAACACCACACGCCACAAAGATTGCTAAAATAAACTGTCTTGTGCATTAGAACAAAATGCTCAACGTTTAATGTGAAAGGGGCTACTGGACACAACTTACCATCTTTCTAGATGGGCATATTTGAAAGCAGTGATACATTGCAGGCCTTTATTCCATTTCCCTTTAACGTTTAGCAGGATTTTTTTTCTCTCCTCTCTGTGCAGATATCTGTAAAGCAAATACAGATTTGAGATAATTCTTGAATACTTGAAAAACCTGCTTTCATTTTTAGAGAATATTTCGCTTGTTCTTTTAGAAGATCAAAGGAGGTAGGTCATAGAGATGTTTAAAAAGTTGTATTAGCATACTTCATAATACAGCACAGTTTCTGCAGATGCACATAATTTCTGGGCTGTGGGACATCTGGGACATTTAACAGATCATTGCAAGTTCTGTGGTCTTCTGAGATCATCTTGCGAGGGATACTCATCTTTCAGTAAACACTGGGAATACTGCATGTAGTACTAACAAAGCTGTCCCTCTATAGGATCCTTGGGGGCCATTCTTTCTTTTCTAAGGTGTAAAAAATATGGGGATCAGTTGGAACTGGCGAAGCCAGTGTTCACACAGATACCCACACAATATCCTTCAGGCCCATGTCTTCTTGATAATACTACAGCAGTCTTTGGCATTTCAAATAATGATTTTAGTGTTAAATGATGGCCCTGATAATTTCAAAATTTTTGCTCATTTGTTCAGTTATTTATACACTTGCTGTCATGACCAGATGTGAAACAAATTGACTGTGAAACAGAGAAATAGCAAAGACTTCAAACATTTTCACTAACACTTATGAATTTTAAATCAAAACTATAATAGAGTATTTTTATTTTGGATGTTCAATTACTGTTTTTCTATCTCTTAAAAATAATTATTAATTTGTGACCTCTTCATACCCAAATGAATTCTCTGATTTTTCCTCACTAGCAATTTGGTGTAAACCACAATAGTTACTGAAAAGTAACAGCATGTAATTACTACGTGGAAGTTTTTCTACAGTTCCACTGAGGGCAGTATCTCCTAATTCCATTGTCTTTATATCAGGTTACAAATTATTGATACATTTTTGGTGCCAATATTTCTCTAAGAAAAAGCAATGTAAGGCAATGTATTGTGCTAGTGAATTTTTGGGTAACGTTACCGTGGCCTAAAAATGTCAGACTTTTGTATTCAACTGAAGTAAATACTAAAAATATTTTCAGAAATTTTTGATACTAAGTCCTAAAGGCATCTTGTAGATCTCATGAGCTGCACATATCCCCATTGCCAGGAGCAAGGACAGCTGTCTGTTTTCACTTTCAAACATGCCATCACCAATCATCAACAATTAATTATATTGTTATTATTATTAATTATAGTTATTATTAATAATAAGTACCTTAAAAAGCAACAGCTGTAGTAGAATATAATCATTACGTTTCTTCCATACAGCTAGTAAAGATAAGAAAAACTATGGAAAATATTGATCCAACACAAAGCATTTTCTGAATTTTCTGAAGAGCAGACAAATAGGCTATAAACAATGACAGAAAATATTTTTAAAATTGAATTTAATAAAACCTGCATGTAGGTTTTATTAAACAGTAAATGCAA